CCGCGTTTCTTTTTTTTTCATTAAAATAAATAAAAACTTATAACTTATCTTAAAATAGCTCCTGTGATTAAAAAAATATTTATAATTAAAGTAGTTAACGGGAAATTTAGTAGTAATAATATTTTTTAAAAAAAAGTAATTAAGTAATTAACACTTAAATTACCATCGGTCATGTTTAAATGGTGGCGACCATGGTAACGGCGGGGCAGGGGGTGCTAAGAATCTCCGGTGGAGGTTCGGTTGCCACCTACGACGACTCGACCTGGCAACATTTAACGCACGCACACTGAGGACTGACGAGAAGATCCTGGAGCTGGAAGAAGAGATAGACAAGCTGCGCTGGAGTATTATAGGATTATCCGAGGTCCGAAGAGAGGGGGAGGACACGGTGATTCTCGAATCCGGCAACTTGTTCTATCACCGGGAGGGCGACCATCTGTCCCAAGGAGGTGTCGGATTTATCGTCCACAAATCTCTCGTCAACAACGTTGTAAAGATTGGGAGTGTGTCGACGAGGGTCGCGTACCTGATACTCAGAATCACCAAACGGTATTCGCTGAAGGTCATTCAGGTTTACGCACCAACCTCGGCATATCCCGATGAGGAGGTGGAGGAAATGTATGAGGATATTTCCAGAGCCATACATTCCTCCAAAACCTACTACACGGTGTTGATGGGAGACTTCAACGCAAAACTGGGCACAAGAGAAAGCGGTGAGCTGAAGGTAGGGAAATTTGGAGTAGGGCAACGGAACCGAAGGGGCCAGCAGCTGGCCGACTTTATGGAGAAAGAGGGACTCTTTATGATGAACTCTTTCTTCCAGAAGCGGCCCCACAGGAAGTGGACCTGGTCGAGCCCCGACGGTTCGACAAAAAATGAGATTGACTTCATTATGACGACCAGACGCCAACTGTTCAGTGATGTCTCAGTGATCGCAAGGGTGAAAACTGGCAGCGATCACCGAATGGTTAGAGGTACACTGAACCTAAACGTTAAGTTGGAGAGGTCTCGTCTAATGAAGTCAACGCTCCGTCCCCCTCGTGCTCTAATCCAGAATCCCGAAACCTTTCAGCTCGAGTTACGTAACCGCTTCCAGTGCCTAGAAGATTGCAATGCAGTGGACGATATGAACGACAAGCTCGTGGAAACTGTCCATGCGGTCGGAGCTAAGTTCTGTAAGACCCGCCGCAGAAGAACACAAAAACTCTCCGATCACACTCTTAATCTCATGGCTGTTAGACGGGAGATGAGGCTGCAATCGTCAACAGATTTGACAGCATACAGGCAACTGAACAGACAGATCTCCAAATGCATACGGCGAGACTTACGCAACTTTAATACTTCTCGTATTAAAGAAGCGATCGAGCGGAATCAGGGCTCCAAAGTCTTTGTCAGAGATCTGTCTGCCAGAAAGAGCCAACTGTCAAGGCTGAAGACTGAGTGTGGCAACATCGTTTCCGGGACACCTGAGATTTTGAGTGAGATTGAGAGGTTCTATGGGCAGCTGTACACATCATCGTTGGAGCCACACGCAAGTGTGAGTAACGATCCAAGAGCAAGTCTTATCCGACACTATTCCGATGATATCCCGGACGTCAGTCTAAGCGAGATTAGAATGGCTCTCCAGCACCTTAAAAACGGCAGGGCCCCAGGCGAGGATGGAATTACAGCGGAGCTTCTGAAAGCGGGTGGAACACCGGTACTTGAAGTCCTTCAGAAGCTCTTCAATTCCGTCCTCCATGGTGGCACTACTCCAGAGGCGTGGAGCAGAAGTGCGGTGGTCTTGTTCTTTAAGAAAGGCGACAACGCTCTCTTAAAGAACTACAGACCGATTTCCCTTCTGAGCCGCGTCTACGTGCTGTTTTCGAGAGTCATTACGAATCGTCTCGCACGCAGACTTGACGACTTCCAGCCTCCTGAACAAGCCGGTTTCCGAAAAGGCTTCAGTACCATAGACCACATACATACCCTGCGGCAGATTGTACAGAAGACTGAAGAGTACAATCTGCCACTTTGCCTGGCGTATGTGGACTATGAGAAAGCCTTTGATTCCGTCGAAATTTGGGCGGTGCTACAGTCCCTTCAGCGGTGCCAAGTTGACTGTCGGTATATCGAAGTGCTGAAGTGTTTGTACAGTAGGGCTACGATGGCTATCCGAGTACAGAACCAGAGCTCGAAACCTATCCAACTGCAGAGAGGTGTAAGACAGGGTGACGTTATATCCCCGAAACTCTTCACCGCTGCATTGGAAGACGTTTTCAAGCTACTGGACTGGAAAGGATACGGTATTGACATCAATGGCGAGTACATCACTCACCTTCGATTTGCCGACGATATAGTCCTTATGGCAGAATCGCTGGAGGACTTAAGCACTATGCTCAATGACCTCAATAGTGCCTCCCAACGGATAGGTCTTAAGATGAACATGGACAAAACAAAGATCATGTTCAATGTCCATGTCACACCTATGCCGGTAGTTGTTGGGAGCACTATGCTCGAAGTTGTTGACGAATACGTTTACCTGGGACAAATAGTCCGACTAGGTAAGTCCAAGTTCGACCGAGAGGTCAATCGACGGATTCAACTCGGCTGGGCAGCGTTCGGGAAATTACGGCATATCTTTTCGTCAGGTATACCTCAATCTCTAAAAACTAGATTGTACAACCAGTGCGTGTTGCCAGTGATGACTTACGGATCTGAGACGTGGTCCTTCACTGCTGGCCGTATGAGGACGCTTAAGGTCGCTCAGCGAGCTATGGAGAGGGCTATGCTCGGAGTTTCTCTGCGTGATAGACTCAGAAATGAGGATATCCGCAGTAAAACCAGAGTGACCGACATAGCCCAACGGATTAGTAAGCTGAAGTGGCAATGGGCCGGCCATATAGCTCGAAGAACGGATAACCGATGGGGAAGAAAGGTTCTCGAGTGGCAGCCTCGTACCGGTAGGCGTAGTGTAGGGCGACCCCCCACTAGATGGAGTGACGACCTGGTAAGACATGCAGGAAGTCGATGGATGCAGGTGGCTCAGGACCGTGCTTTGTGGCATTACTTGGGGGAGGCCTATGTTCAGCAGTGGACTTGTGAAGGGCTGTAATGATGATAATGATGATGTTTTAAATGCAATACTCCGTACAAAATCAAAGTACGACACGGCAGTCATAGGCTTAAAAACGAAGATGGATTCGAGACGGAAAGAACGTACCTACATCCAAATCTAACGACCGTAAAACAATGTGTCGTTGGTAAATGTCGTTGCTTCATGTAGCCTGTGGCGGCCACGAGTGGCGTGTTATAAACACTGCTGTATCCTGTAGAGTGTGGATACCACCGGTCATTCTAGTCACTTCGTGTAGTTTCGGGTTGCCTAACATTGCGCTTTTCAGTACCAGGCTACCGAGAACGTTTTTTCCCCATCGGTTGTTGCGTAAAGTAAAAAATTAATATCATTTAATTAAAACTATAACATTTAATGTTTGTTCATTAGCTAAAAGGAAAGCGGCGAAGAACTAATACGTTTCAACTACCCACAAAACTTTGTTTAAAATCTATACACTCCATTCAAACGCTTACTTTATCTAAACTAATTCACTCACTCGCACAGACTCCCTGCGGCCACTCTAAACTTAAGTCATTGTACGACAAGCTTACATCGTTTTCGATTTTGCACTTTATATATATCATGTACAAATAAAATAAGATCAGTAATTGGCTTGCTTAAGTGAAAATTTAACTTGGTGATTGGATTCCACTTTCTGACAAAGTTTGTTAGTAGGCTCATAAACTGAAATGACTTAATAAACTAATTCGGATTAAACTTTAAAGTTCAATTAAGCTCTTAACTTTTTTAATTTAGTTTTGAATCCGTTTACATTATAATACATTGCGCATAGGATGAACCCTATTTACTGGTAACGAGGTATTTCATCTTAGTTCTCAGGGATGACATCGCAGTGCAAATGATCCCGATCGCGGAGCGCACACGACGTGACGGTCGCACTTACACTTAAAAAGTTTGTCAGAAAAAATCTTAAAAGTCTTAATTTAAAAAAAAAAGTGTAATCATACAGTTTTGTGTTACAAAAATATCCTTAAATTACAAGATAATCAAAATAAGCTGTGAATACAAATAACCCGAACAGTTGTAATAACAAATAAGTGATAATTAAGTGTAATTGTGAGTTATAATAAATATACTTTAATTAGAAAAGTTTGTCTGAAGAAATCTTAAAACGTACTTAATTTAAAAAAAAGTGTAATTATACAGTTTTGTGTTACAAAAATATTTTGAAATTACAAGATAATCAAAATAAGTTGTGAACAAATTCAAATTATATTAAAAGAAGTGGGTGATCTTCAAATTTTGTTCATACAAGTTCGTTAGTGTAAAAAGCCGTTGTTTACTCAACAAAACAAACTTTGGACCGTGATGTAAACAAGTATTGTCGCTAATATATTGCAGATAAGTACTACACACCTTTTTCGCTTGAAATTACGTCGGTTGCATAGCTCAGTGGTACAACACCCGTTCAATAATTTCAAAGAATAAATACTTTATTTCATTTTCTTTTGTAATTTTTAATTTACTGTATAAAATATTAAGTCAATTTTTAAACTTTTTATTTAAAAAGTAATATATCAAATAGAAATTAGATATTATATATTATATTGACTTTTCGCTAAAATGTCATCACAGAAAAACAAAAATTTGTCAACGATTTCCACAAAGACAATTATGAATATCTGCACCAAATGTAAGAAAGTGATCACTTCTAAAGAGATTTTAAAATGCTTTATTTGTAATGAAAAATACGACTTAAATTGCATAAACATGTCAATTAGAAGATTTAATGCTATGAATACTGAAAAAAAAATCCAAATGGAAATGTGATCAGTGCATACATAAGACAAACACTAAAAAAATATGTTCACCAAATGCTGATATTTCTCATAGCGTGAAAAAACAAGTCAATATCTCAAAAAATGATGTTTTACAACATAAAATGCTGCATAAAAGTAAAAACGAAATTGAAAGCTTATGTAATCAACTATTAACCACCAATAAATTCCAAAACAGAGTTAAAAATCGCACACATATAGAAACGTACTCGGACCCTGAAACTTCCTTATCATCCGAAGATTCAAACATAATAAAAAGCTTACCTGATCTTTCAACATTAGTAAATGATGAATCTATTGAGTTAAAACAAAGAAACTCCGAACTACAGCTAGAACTAGACAGTGCGCACATGGAAATAGAAAAGCTTATTCTTGAGAAAAGAGAACTAACAAAAAGAGGTTGACAAATTAGCGGCAAAAACAAAAAGATTACTTATGATATGTTCATCAAACAGTCCTAAAAAAATAAAACTTCAGAAAAACGACGCATTACTCCAAACACCTAATAATTTAGATTTAGTAACACAAACACCTAATAAATTAGATTTAGAAACGCAAACATCTAATAAATTGGATTTAACAACGCCAACAGCGGCAATAAAAGACGTCAGGATAGATGACAAAAAAAACCTGTTAATGACTAAAAACAAAAACATAGAACTAGAAAACAAGTTGGAGGAAGATATTCAGCATCTACGTCAAACAAACTTCAATATTAAAAAAAGAAAAATATTTATATTTCAAACGCAACAATGTGTCGGCTTAGCCTCAGCGTTGCTTCGTTCGAGAGAACATAGTAAATATAAGGAATATGATATAATCGGTTATACAAAACCTGATGCTTTAACCGAAAATGTACTAAAAAGTTGTGTTCTCAATCAAGATTATGGTCCGTCAGATAAAATTATTATTTGTGTTGGTGAAAACGATAAAAATCCTCTAGCTGTTTCATCAGAATTATATATAACATTAAAACGACTAAGAAAACATACTGTAATTATTTTAAATGTTTTAAATAATAGACATTTAAATACGGGGATGATAAATTCCAATATTATAAAAGTATGTAGTCAATATAAAAACTGTTATTTTATAAAAGAAAATTCCTATTACAAAAATCTATTCCACGCTTGTAAAAGAATTAACTATATAATTGATTGTATAGATTATGATCAACAATTTTTAGACTATTCCCAACTAAAAAATATTATTAAACAGCGTTCAACACTAAGTAAATGTTCTGAATTAATTAATAAAATACATAAGAAAGGTACAATTCCTTACTATTTCGCAAATATAAAAAACAAAACAAAACGTAATATTTTAAATGAAAAATCTGGGGTTCAATTGGATATAATAGAGAGTGTGTGTGACATAAAGGAACCTATAAAGTTCAAAAAAAGGAACTATCCCATTTTATTTTCCAATCATAGAAAAAAACAGTTTATTCCGACATTAAGGCATTAGACATCTGTAGAAACAGTATTTTAATAAATGATAAAATACATAGAATAGGAAATTCCTGTATGCGAGTATTTCACCAAAACATAGCAGGATTACTAGGAAAATTAGATTTACTTGAGGCGTGCATCGCAGAATTTAATTACTCTAAAGAACCAATAGACGTGATTTGTCTAACAGAAACATTCGTAAAAAATGGAGATGAAGAAAACGTAATTTTTAAAAACTTTAAACTGGCTGCCAATTTCTCAAGAAAACAATCAAAACGTGGTGGTGTGTGTATTCTTGTAAAACAAAATTTCAAGTATCGCATCTTAGATTTTTTACAACCGTTTTCAAAGGAAATTGAGTTTGAATGTTGCGGTATAGAATTGACTGAACAAAAATGTATTATTATATGTATTTATAGAACACCAAACTCGGAAATAAGTACATTTTTTACGAAACTTGATGCTTTATTACATAAGCTACGTGAAAAAATAAACAAAAAAATTATAATTGCTTGCGATTTTAACGTAAATATGTTAATTTTGAATAATAAATCTAATAGATTAAGAAGTTTATTAAAAAGCTATGGGTTTCAAATGCATATAACGGAAACAACGAGACAACATACATGTATAGACCAAATGGCAAGTAATATACAAGGAGCTATCGGAAAAGTCCATGAATTAGGTCTATCAGATCACAAGGGGCAAACATTAAGTTTTTTGTTAAACGATACAATAAAGTCTCCTGGGCATTATTATATATTTAGAAGACAATACACGGAAAGTAATATTAGCAGTTTCTCAATCACTTAAAAATATCATTCTTGGACGTATATGAGGAGGATAACATAGAAAAAGCATTTACAAAATTTTATGACACGTTTGTACTAATTTATAAGCTGTGCTTTCCCATAAATAGAGTCAAAGTAAATAATTTTGATCAAAAATTAAAAAGGATTACAAATGGTATAAGAATTTCCTGTAGAACCAAACGTGCACTTCGCTATAAATATTATAAAAATAAAACTCACGAGAACAAAAATAAATATACACTTTATAGAAATATCCTAAAAAAAAACTATTTTACTGGCACAAAAGCAGATGAATCACAAATACGTACTAAACTCAAAAAATAAAACTAAAGCCACTTGGAACCTAATAAAAGAAAAAAGTCAGACACATCCAAATCTCATTGATAGCCTCACAGTCAATAATAAAAAAATACTAAATCCCATTGAACTAGCTACAACATTTAATCTGCATTTCATCTATTCAATTAAAGACAGAATATCACATAATAGTGCGGATAAATTAAGCGTAACTAGTCTAAGAAATCAATCTAGTATTTATTTAAGGCCATGTGATATAACGGAAATTAAGAACCATATTTCATCACTTAAAAACACAAAATCTACTGGCTGTGATGAAATACAAACAAAAGTTTTAAAGAGGTGTCCAGGAAAAATCATAGACGTATTATTTTTTCTCATTAATAAATCGCTTGAAGCGGGAATTTTTCCTAAAGAATTGAAATTATCCGTTGTGATACCATTGCATAAAAAAAGGTGACAGAAATAATATTAATAACTATAGAGCAATTACGCTAATATCAATATTATCAAAATTGTATGAGAAAGTTATGCAAAAAAGACTTTTAGACTTTTTTAATAAGTTTAACATATTAAAACCAGAGCAATATGGTTTTCAAAAGGGTAAATCTACGACACTGGCAACTTTTTCCCATATAAAAATCGTAACCGATTATATAAACAGAAAAATACCAATTTCTGCAGTGTACTTTGATATGAGCAAAGCATTTGATAATGTTGGTCATGATATACTCTTAAAAAAATTGAAGCTTATGGTATAAGAGGGCCAGCTTACTCCTGGATACAAAGCTATTTAAAAGATAGAAAACAATATGTTGAAGTACAACAAAAAGATAAAAAACGGCAAGACATTTTAAAATATAAATCTTCGTACTTACCAAATGATTACGGAGTGTCACAAGGGAGTATTTTGGGTCCTTTACTGTTTTTAATTTACATAAATGACCTACCAAATTACATCAAACATAATACAATATTATTTGCTGACGACATTTCTATTTTAATACCGAAAATAAATTTTAATTCTAGTAATAAAGAATATGAAAATGAAATAAATAATACTATTATAAATGTTGTTAAATGGTTAAAAAACAATAATCTAAGCATAAATCTATCCAAAAGTAAATTTATGCAATTCTAAAATGTTAAAAGTAAACCGCAATTACTTGATATTAAGTATAATGGTGAAAAAATTACTGCTACTGAATGTACCACATTTTTAGGCATTAGTTTAGACAAACATTGTAGGAATCACATAGATAAAGTTTGTTCTAAAATATTTAAATTTACTTTTTCTCTGCGAAGGCTAACTTCAATCTCGTCAAGAAACACTTCTCTTATAGCATATCATGCATATGTCGCTGCTGTATTAAGATATGGTATCATATTATGGGGAAACTCGACTGATGTAAACCGTACTTTTATAGCTCAAAAACGCTGTATACGAGCAATTTGTGGTGTCGGGCCACTAGTTTCTTGCAAACCACTGTTTAAAGAATTGGGTGTTCTTACGCTACCATCCATGTACATTTTTGAACTTTCAATATTCGTAAAAAAAGTATCCTCAGTTTTTTACTAGATTAAAGGATACAGTAACATATAGTACCAGATACCCAGATAAAATTATTTTACCTTCATTAAAAACTAGCCTGTATTCAAAAAATTGCTATGTGATGGCTATTCAAGTGTTTAATAAAATCCCAAATGAAATAAGGCAATTAGATTATAATCGATTTAGACGTAATCTATTAAAGTGGCTTTTAGAAAAACAGTTTTATTCGGTAAATGAACTGCTAAAAATAAGAGAACGTTTCTATTGACTGTAAAAATGCTGTTTCTTATCTGATTGTGTTTTAAACGATTAATTAAGATTGTAAAGTGATGCATGTTTAATTTTACTTAAATTTTTGTATATTCTAACCACAAGTTAATTAGTAAATAAGTCCAAATATCATATACCAAAATTGGTGCAATATGTGAATCATTATTATTTTTATAAGAACATCTTTGTACCATATTTCTTGTGAATATATTAATTTATTTATTTATATACATTTTATTTTTACGGGAATACGCGACATTGAATAAAACACATTTTATCGCGTTTAATTTAACTTGTTTAATTTACGGTCTTTTGACCGGGGGGTGGGGAGACTCTCTTGAGTCTCCCCACCCCCCCGGTCACACACCGTGGAGGTGTGCCCTGCTTGGGCGGAGCACCGCCGTGTTCTCGTAGCGGCGATAGGCGGCGGCGACCTCTCGCGTCCGGCCCTGGTCGAAGCCATGGTCTGGAGCGAGACGGAATGGAATGCCGTCACCACCTTCTGCGAAGCAGTGATGCTAGCGAAGGAGGTGGCGGAGCGGGAGAAGGAAAGAGCAGCAGCTTTCCTCCCCGGCCGCCGCGGGAGACGCCCCGGGCGTCGGGGGCTACGTCGTGGCCCCCCGGCCACCGTAGGCGCGGGCCTGTGGACGGCGAGCAATGGGTAGCTCGTCGTCCGTCCGTCTAACGACGACAAGCCGTGTCGACGGCGCGTTTTGTTCCACGCGCGCCTCAAAGAGCTGTCAGCAGCGTGATGGGGCCCGCAAGGGCCGACGCCTGCCGGGGCTGCGGGCTATTCGAAAGAGATACCGCGGCTCCGGAACCTAAGGGCACTGAAGGCACCCGGATGGTTTTTAGTCAGTAAAAGTCTGACACTCCCTTACGCTCCACCCAGAGCGAGAGGGGTCATTAGATGATTTTCCATCCGCAAAAAAAAAAAAAAAAAAAAAGGGAAGCGGGCTGATTTTCGCTACCGCCCATCTCTTGTTTCAGCTTCCCCCACCGCATCTTTCGACATCTACTGG